TTGTTGTAATTTTTAAATAAATTAGATCATGAATAATATGAATTTAATTTTTAAATAAGTTAGATCATGAATAATATGAATTTTTCATATTCATTCTATCTTTGTTTTGGGTTATTTGTTATATTCATCATAATAAATAACCCTAAAAAAGTCAAGTTAAGTGGCTATGAAATTTTGCATCTCAACCAATTAAAACTAACCCTAACACTATTGAATTCATTACAGAATTATAGATAACCCTAAAAATGTCAAGTTGAGCCGCTATGAAATTTCGCATCTCAACCACTTAAAACTAACCTTAACACTATTGAATTCATTATAAAATTATAAATAACCCTAAAAAGTCAAGTTATGCAGTTATGAAATTTCGCATCTCGACCACTTAAAACTAACCCTAACATCATTGAATTCATTATAAAATTTTACATCTTAATCACTTAAAATGAACCCTAACACTATTTGTCTACCCAAATGATACAAATTTATAGTATATAATTCATTTACATATTTAATGTTTTAATGTGTATTATTTGTATTTTGATATTGTGTTTATATACATATATTTATATTTTATATATATTAGTATTTTAAATATTTATATTTTAATAGTAATTTTTTTTGCTTAATAATAATACATTGTATATTAATCTAAAACTAATTAGTATCTTAAGTTTAATTATATTTCAAACTTATGATATTATTTATGAATTATAGTAATAAAAAGATATATCACAAGTTTTGTTAAAGTTAATATATATATATATATATATATATATATATATATATATATATATATATATATAAAATAGGTTGGAGATAATTAAGTTTGCAATGCACCATCCTTGTGCAAAAAATGATGTTACATGTTAGAAATGGTCTAAAAGATGTACTTTATATAGTTTTTAATACATATAATGTTTGTTGCATAATTTATTATTATTATTAACAAGTCTAAGATCATTTGTCCGGTAGAAACTAGAATACTTAAGGGGATGTGACTTTGGCATAATCACTAAATTGTTAGTGTTTTGGAATTTACCTATATTTGAACAAGCTTAGGCCTTGGTGTGATGTCGGTTGTCATAGGTATGATTTATCCTTTTAGCTTGTTAAGCTTTTTGGGCATTCTCGCAAGATGATTATAACTTGATTTACATCAACGTGTGGTCTGTCAAATCAGGTAATTGTGATGTGTTTTTGTCTGATACGGTACCACATGACAAAGTTTTATGTAACACGAACATGACAATTTTTTCAGTAACATGAAAACGCATCAATTAAAACACAAAAAACGCAACAAAATAACCATTATTTATATAATTCATATTTAATCATACATAATACCAAAAACACAACAAAGACATGCTATATTGTGTAAATTTCGTGATGAATTTTAAACACGACATGACATTGTTTTTTTTTTACTAGACACAAACATGAACATGAATTCAAAATTCAGTTTCTTCTCAATTTCATTTCGTGGTCTTGTTGTTCCATCGATTGGCATCCTAAATTCTCACATGACACATGTTTTTACTGGTATGGTTTAACCTCTTAGGCCATTAATCTGTGAGGATACTAGGCCACTTTGCAAACCGTTGTTTACTTGATTTAAATCACACAACTCGTTCTACACCACCTAGGTGATATGGCTCGTTTAATGGTACTCGTGCTACACCACTTGGGGAGATTGACCTATTCAATGGTTTGATTACCTGAAAATAGGTTTTTCTGTAAAAGTTTTCATTGTTGTGTTGTAGACTTGAATAAGGTTTGATCGGTTTGCTTTTTGTTTAAAACAAAAATCAAACTAAAAACGTTTGTTCCAAGCTTTTTTTTGTTTTACATGTTTGATTTTCTTTAAGGTTTTATTTTGGGTTTTAGGTTCCAATGAGTAAGTGAACATCGTTTATGTTCAATAATTGTAAACCTATTTGTTTTGTTAATTTTTTCAACAAAAATAAAAGATCGTGAACTTCGAACATCAATTAAATATTTATCTATCTTCTATAATAGAGATCAATATATACTTCAATCATATCCATTTGAAACCATTAATACAAGACGTAATTTGTAATTTAAATATGATACTAAATTTAAAATACAAATCAAAATGTCAATGAACTTTAAAAGTTTTGTGTTTTTAATTAACCATAAAAAAATAATAGTTGTAAATAACATAAAACTAAAAAATATATTTCATTACCTTGAAATATAATAATTGAAATATAATAACTGGTATTTGAAATAATGATTTATTAAAATTAGATATTGAGATTTAACCGTCATAATGTTAAATGTAAAACCTAAATTATAATGTCAAATTAGCAAAGCGTTGACCAAACATTATTTTTTATAACAATAAGTTTTTAAAAACAAATGGCTTTTAATTAATTAAAAATAATGATAGTTAAAAAAAATTATAAACTTAAAAAAATATACTAGGTTAACTTTAAAATAATTATTGATAATTAATAGTTATGATCAAATTTAAAAAAATTTCAAATAATTTAGTTTATATAAATTAATTATAACAGTAGTTAAAAATAATATGAAATCTTAAACTATATTTAATTTACTAGTTGTAAGACTCATGTATTACATGAGTTAATTTAAAAAAAAAAGTTAGATATAAAAATGTAAATATTTGAGAACTTTAAATTTATAAGAAAATAAGAAAAATAATGAATTATTAAAATTGAAATGTTTTTTTATATTATAAATTTAAATAAATAAACAAAAGAAATTAATATGCTTTAATTTATGAATTTTGAAATTAGAAGGTAAGTCCATTAATGAAACCGATATCTAATTATTAGTATATTTATTGTAATTATTACATTAAAATATTATGTGTAATTTAATAAAATAAAAAAATCTTCTAAAATGATGTAAAAAAATTAATTCAAAATAATCAAAAAATGGCATTTGGCAAATTGAATTAGAATGTGACATGTGACATAAAAACCTTCATTTATTAGAGTAGAAGATTTGAAGATATAACTAGATGATGTGATCATAAAAGATATCAAGTGTTTACAAATGTGTCATTTCTTCTGAATGATTAAGGTTTAAGTTTCGTAATAGACAAAGATATAGTTTAAGAGTATGATTTAGAGTGTATATGTTTTTATGTTAGCCGGAAGTGATGGTGGGGTGGATGTGGGCGAGAGGGGTCATTTATGTAATTATAAGATATTTTAATAAAAAACAAATATATGAAAAATAAAAAGGTAAGGGTAAAAATATAATTTCACTGTGTTTAACCAGCTCTGTGGTTAGATTTAGCAACTTAGGAACGATCCATGTAAATATCAAAATAACACAAGCACCAACTTTGACCATTTTGTTGAAGTCAGACTTTATGTACCTATTACACTATTACACTATACCACATGGACCATTTTTGTAATTTTCTCTTGGACGTAGTAAAAAATATTGATAGTACTTTTTTATTTAACCTTCCACGTAATGGGCTATGGACCAGATTTGTGTGGACCATTTATTTGATGCACTTTATCATTTTTTTTAATTAATTAAAATTATGATCAATGCTTAATACAAACGGGTTCAAACAAATTATGAATAGCATAACAAAAAGTTGTAGCCATACGCCAGAGTTAGTATTCGCACGTATTTAGAATTTTTGACAAGATTATCAAATAAATTGTTGTTATTTGGAAGCAATAGGGATTATCGCTAGCAAAAATTGATGGCACATGAATCCAACTCGAAATTTATGGATTACGTTGAGATTTTCAATACGTCTAATTAAATATATTAGTTATTGTTATTTATAACATAGCCAACCCGTTTAAATAATAAATATATTGAATGGTCCAACACGAAGTGAAAGTTGATTTGCTAGAAGCGAAAGTCGAGTTTATTAACAGTTAGGAATTGAAAATGGCATTTGGACAATGAAATTGTAGCTATGTGAGTGTTTTTTAGAGTTGGAGAGTTGTTTTCATTTTCTTTGGTCTGATAACAAACATGTTACTTCGAAAAAACACAAAGCAATTAATTTTGAATACATCCAAAGCAACCCTTTATTATTTACTTGTATTACTATTAACTACAGTTTCTATTCATAACCTCGAGCTCTAGCCATTTCGAGATATCAATAACACCACAATCAGAAGCATAAAGTCTAGAAAGCCAAGTATGTATGTTGTTAGAACATTTACTGTATTTGTTCTACTTCTACTACTAAAAAGGCTTATTACCCTACTAAGACTTCCGACTTCTGGCTAGTCATTAATTCCTCAAAATCAGCAATGGCTTGACGCATAGCGTGCAGGATCATTTTCTTTACCTTTAACACAAACAAATATACTTTAAAATGCTATAACTAAAAATAAAACTTTGTCAAAGTTTCACGACTTCACGTCACATAAAAAAGAATTAAAACTTTTATATAACATAAGTAATAATAATAATATTGTATACCTCTAGTTTGTCTTCTCTAGCTTTGTGATTAATGGGCAGCTTACGGAACTCCTGTGTTAGTCGGATGCACTCTTGTATGTTCTCCGGAGAAACGAAGTCCACGGCGACTTTCGTACATGACTGTAACAAAAATGTTATATTACGATTTAAAAACAATAAAATATTTTACCCACACAAAAAATTAATTGAAGGATTATAAAATATAAAAAAAAGAAAAACTAAATTGGTGCCTAGTTTTGTGTGCCTGGCCTCTGTTTACAACCTGTCGTTTGTGTGAAGCTACTAGTACAGTTATTGTAGGTGTCAATCTTGAGAAACTGGTAGGACGCCACCTAACGGGTTTTTAGGGATTCTATACGTTATCTTTTAGATGATTTAAATTGAAATTTGAAATCGGATTATAATATATTTTTTTGACTAAACTGTACAAATGGTCCCTGTGGTTTGCTCAAAATTGTCACTTTGGTCCAAAAAAGTTTTGACTAGCACCACAGGTCCAAAGTTTTCATTTTGTTGCGATTTTGGTCCAATTTGTTTTAAAAATATTTAAAATGATGGATTTACCCTTGGTACTTTGTTTTTCTATTTTTTTTATTTATTTAAATGTTTTTTATGATTAAAAGAAAAATAAAAAAGAATATCTCTCTAACCCTTATTTCTTCTTCAGCACAACTCCTCTCTACTAGTATTACCGCCGCCTCCCTCATCTCCACTAGTATCACCGGCGGATCTATTACTCCGACGACTCCAAGACAACTTCAACCACTCCAAGACACCTCCGGCTTCCTCCTTCCCCTTCCCATTTTCCTTCTGTCCACCCTGGAAACGAAGTCAGATCGAATTAGCTCACAAGTCACTGTCTTTAACATCTCAATGGTGGTGTCAATGGTCGATAGAGGCAGAGATCGATTTGGATCTGTCGAGTGTTTATTCACTACAGAGAGAGATTGCTACAGACGATGATGTCGAAGAGGTGGCATTCGCACAACCTAACCCTAGCACCGACGACGATGATAGTCTGAGGTCTGTTTCTAGAATGCAACTATTAAAAACCGAGAGAAGACAAATTCAGTGTATTCTCAACTCCAATGGTCTTCCTTATTTCCGCTCCACCACTTTTCCTCTATAAACCATAGTCGGATCGGGTTCTTCAACACTAACTGAATTCGGAAATGTTCTCCAGATTAACGTAGGCGTAGTGCTCCATTTTCGAGTGTGTTTTCTTTCCAAATGATCCATTTCCCAAATTGGGTTGTACTTTGTTTTTTTGTTTTTAGAGGGTGGAGGTATAAATGGGTGGTAATGGTGGTGGTTCGAGGTCCTGTAGTCGGTGTTTAAAGAGCTCATATGTGAGTTTTCCGATTGAGGCTGTTGGGTGTGATGATGTTGTTGATTAGGTGATTAATGGAGGGTGAAAATATTGAAGGAGGTGACTCGATGGAAGGAGAGTGCTTGTGTATACGGTGGCAGGAGGCTGCCCTGCCCGGCAGCCTAGCGGTTGCTTCCTTTTTGCTTATGTCGGCAGTGGTCATCGGAGGGGAAGAGGGAAGAGGTAAGGCAGTATGTTGGAGGGTTGCTTGGGGCTGTTGTGGGTAGTGAATAATGAACTGAAGTGGAAAAGGGGTAAAGACGTCTGAATGGCGTTGTATGATTTGATTTTCCAGCAAGAAAATGGTAGCTCCGGCGATGTGATATATTACGATTTGATTTTCGGCAATTATATTATTGTGAAACGGAAATGTAGAGAGAGAGAGAGGGTAGTTCTCATTTTGTTTTTTTATTTCTGTAAGAAAAAAATGAAAAAAGAATATACAAAGGGCAAAATGGTCATTATAAAAAAATTCAAATCAAATTAGACCAAAGTGACAACAAAATCAAACTTTTGGACCACTGGTGCTAGTCCAAACTTTTTTTGGACCAAAGTGGCAATTTTCGATATACCACGGGGACCATTTTTGCAGTTTTGTTTATTTTTTTTGGGTTGGCTATATTTATTCTTTTTTTTTATATAAATATTTGTTTGTTTGGATGATTTATAACAAATCAAAATTGGTTGATTATTTTGCAACGCAGGTGGCGGTGTGAGACGATGATGGAAGCAATGTTTTAAAAACTGGTTTGAACTGTCTGGTTGAACCGGTGGGGACGAGAACGGTTAAACAACAATCGGTTTTATGCTAAGTTCTAAACCGAATTGAACCAGTCAATTTATTCAAAAATCAGGTCGAACTAATATGATAAAAATGATAAAAAAAAAAAACTATTTGAACCAGTTTATTGAACTTTGATAGTTGGATTTCACTTATCTGGATTGTACACAACCCGCAAGCCGATGCACATAACTACTAGATGTAGATGTAGACCGACAATTGAACTGACGGTTGAAGCAAATAAACCATGAACTAAAAAACCGATTTTTATTTTTGATCATACAAAATATTTAGATAAAAATTTAGAAATTAAATTCCCAATATTTTTGTAAAGTTAATAATAAAAATTAAAAAAAAATTATGGATATAAATAAGGGAAATTGTCAGGATATTTTCAATATTTTCGGAAAAGTTACACTTTAGTCCCAAGTTTTTTTTAACATAAAAGTCCCGATTATTTCATTTTGACTCAAATTAACGAACTATTGTTCATGTTCATTTTGAAATACTTAATATCACCGAAAATGCCTATTTTTATTTACTAATATCGTATATAGCAAAGTTGTCAAGATCGAGATCGTAAAATTGGGATCGAGATCCTAAGATTGCACAAAATAAAAGATAACTTTAATTTATACTTTTAAAACATCGTTCAAAAGTTTTAAAAACTTCAAAATATTAGTGATAAATCACAACACAAAATGATAAACGGTAAAATTGGTAAGGGTGAAAGAAAAAAGTGGTAAAAAAATTCATTGCAAAAATAAAAATAATAAAAAAACAAGAAAATGTAGGATCGGATCTCGATCCTATGATCCTACCTACGATCTTACGATCCTGCCTGCGATCCTACCCCAAATACGATCTGACTCGTTTTTCATACTTAGGATCGTAGGATCCTACGATCAAGATCGCAATTTTAATAATCATGGTATCTATAACGTTTTAGATAGGGATAAATTACTTCAACATAATTATTGTACGAGGTTACCCATTACATGTGTCATTTAACCATGTATTACCAGACAAAATATATAGTTGTTATTAGACCAATTATTAAGGGTGAAATAATATGATGGGTAATAGCACAAAAGACACTAAGTTTACACCAAAATTCTAATTTGATACTGTATTTTTTTGTCTTAAATTTGACACTGCGTTTTCCAATTTTTTACAATTCTGACCACTTGACCGGTCAACCTTGCTGACGTGCATAATGACGTGTCAGTTTTGATGATATGACATGCTAACATGTCAAAATTGAATTTGTTTTTACAAAAGACACTAAGTTTTCAATTTTTTCCATTTTGACACTAAGTTTAATTTTATCTTTCAATTTCGACACTTTGTTTTTTTGTTCCAAATAAAACATCTTTTTTGTTTTAAACCAGATTTTTATTTAAATACAAGGTTTTATTTTTTATTTATTATTTTTTTTTGTTTTACATCCAAAGCATAATGTTGTGCATAAATATGCTTTAGTTATATCATGAGGACCAAGCTAACCATAAGCTTCGAATAAGATGTAAAAATTTCACAGGTTGTAAGTTTGATATCTGGGCCTTAATCGACTACACACATCCAAACCTCCAAACTCATTTTAAAGTTGTGTATTTAATATAAAATACAGTTTTTATATAACTAATACATATTTATACATAAAATTATGGTTTGAATGTAAAAAAAACCTTGTATTTATACAAAAATATGGTTTTTAAATTAAACAAATATATTTATACGGTTTAAAATGTATTAAAAAAATATTTATGCATTTTCAAATGAAAAATGATCAACATTGAACAAAATTGGAAAAAATGATGTTCGATTTGGAACAAAAAAAAACAGTGTCAAAACTGAAAGAAAAAATTAAACTTAGTGTCAAAATCGAAAAAAGTGAAAACTTAATGTCTTTTGTGGGGAAAAAATTCAATTTTGACACGTCAACACGCCATGTCATCAAAACTGACACGTCATCATGCCACATCAGCAGGTAACCGGGTTGACCGATCAAGATGTCAGAATTGTAAAAAATAAAAAAACACAGTTTCAAATTTGAGACAAACAAAACACAAATATCAAATTAGAATTCTAGTATAAACTTAATGTCTTTTGTACTATTTACCCCCTAATATGATCTTTGCCATTTTATTGAATTTGATTGTTTGGCGCTATGAGATTGGAGAATTTTCTAGGTGCAACTCATCTTTTTAATAGGAACCAAAAAGAGAAGAATCAAAAGGATTAGACGTATTTGTAATATTATTCATAAAAGCCCTTATATTTTGTAAAAATGTTTGGTTTTACCTTAAATCTGCTTTTAAGTAAATTAATACGACGATATTTGCCAAAAATATTCGATTATATATTTTTAGCTATGATAACAGGTTTTCCAAGTTATCATGAAATTAAATTCACACACACAAAACACTTAAATTTACAAGTTTTTTACATTTAAAATTCTCTTTTTAATATTATACGTATTCATGCAGAAAAAACATAACTATATACGAAAAAAAATTTAATTAAATATTATATTTACATTATCTTTTAAATGTTATTATATAAGTTTTATTAAAAAAAACTATTATGAAAATAGACTCCAATTAATTACCCATAATTTTCTTTCTTAGAATTAAGTAATTAACACAATTTATTAAATATGCAAATTAAAATGATAACATTCTTATTGCTTTTCATTTGTTTAACTACATAGTTTATAAATAAACACAAAGAAGAAATATGATGTGTACTTTGAAAAAACATACATAAATTTTTTAATAAGCATTTCAAATAGATGATAAATGTTTAATTATTTAACTAAAAAATAACTTATGCATATGAAAAGAGTTTTAAAGATATTTTTATGAGTAAATGGCAAAATTAGTCACTACATTTTACCAAAAAATACAGTTCGAGACCATTTTTTTATGCATGATTATTCCAAAAATAAAAAGATAAAAGATCGTGCAGATTTGGTCCCTCGAAAATTTGAATGCACTTGAAAAGATTATTTTGTCATTCTAATTTCCTTTTTCATTTTCTTTTATTTACTCTAAATATTTTTATAATTAAAATAAAATAAAAATAAATCTCCTGATAACCCCCACCAACCCTTTCTCTTTTAAGATACCAACTCCTTCTCTCTATATCTTCTCTTCCCTGCTAGAGTATCACCGTCATCAACTATCGACAGCCAACACTCTCTTGTCGGAAACTACCTCCATACTCGTCGGGAACCACTCTCAACGACGGAAACTACCGAAGACGTCACCTACTCCAACCACCTTCACCGGCGCCATCAAGGATGGGTGTCGGCGAATCTACAAATACCGCCACCGCTGGAACGTTAGCGATTCTTCGCCGGATCTAGAACTCCAATTCGTCGCCAGATCTGGATATGGAACTCTGAGGCTGTAACATGAGGAAGACAGTGGCATTATAACTTGACGAATGTCAGAACCCTAGCATTATTTGGCGCCGACTTTGTCGGAAAAGAAACACGCTATGATCTGAACCTCTCCACCTCTATTCGAGATCTTAGATCGAAGGGCTAACTTAACGTCGTCATTTACTAAAGAGAGTTTGTTCACCGATTTTGTAGATTTGTTTGAAGGAAGTGGTAGACGACGATGGATCTTGACGGATTTATATGGAGGTAGGTGGTGATGAAACTGGAGGGAGGTGGACGAAAATAGATATAGACTGAGGTGGATCTGAACAGAGGCGATGGTTGACGGTGGTTAGCAGGTGACCGACGGCGGACGTGGTCGAGAGAGAGAGAGAGAGAGGTTTATATTTTAAAACATAAATAGGTGGGCGGGGTAGGTTATTAGGGGTTTTATTTTCTTTTTTTAATTATAAAAATATTTAAATAAATAAAAGAAAATGAAAAAGAAAATTAGGACAAAATAGTCTTTTCAATGCACTCAAATTTCCGAAAGACCAGATCTGCACGATATTTTCATTTTTGGACTAACCATGTGTAAAAAAACGCACTTTTTGGTAAACCACAAGGACTAATTTTGCAATTTACTCTATTTTTATTAATTTCACATAGAAAAAATAAGTTTTACTAATGTAGATCTAGGTAGCTATAGTTAGCTCACGTGATGTTACATGACACGAAAATCAATAAAGAGAACAATTTCTAAAAAAAATAAAACTTTATGAAACTTTTTATTGCGGAAAAAATAAATTTTCTTTTGAAAAAAAAAAACAATTTCTCGAATTCACGAAATTAAATAGTTAATTATTTTGTGATAAATGTTGAAATTATTTTAATTTAGTGGTTATATTGGTGATTAAACTTGCAATCGTGTAACACATGTGTTAGACACGAATTTACACAACATAAATTTGGCAAATACGAATACGAACATGGTATGTAATTAATCTGTATTATGTCACATGACACGTGACATGACACGAATAGACATGTTTTAACTATGTTACATGCAAACACGGATTTACACGAATTAAATTTGTGTCTATACGTGTCGCGTGTCAACACGAATTTAATTCGCGTCTACGTTTTAAACAGGTAAATTCATCCTTGACGCTCGTAAGACACTAAACACAAATTCAAAATTTGTGTCGACACGAAGACACAAAACATGAATTTCTAAAACTCGTACACAAAAAACGTATGTCGTGTTCATGTTATGTATCAAAGTGTCGGGTCTAATTGTGATAAATAGATTTTACAATTCTCAAAAAAAAAAAAAAAAAGAGCAGTGGATCGGCTTCATAAGCAGATATCCTCCTCAAGCATACATCCATTTACCATTGATTTTCTTCGATTTACATCTCTCATAATAATATGGAGTGGTTAACATACGAATGTCAGTGTATTAAGGTGTATGGTCTCCATATTCACTTCTTATACACAAGTCCCTTTTCCATCTCCTTATTTTGCACCGCTATACACGATATACATACTCCTTGTTTCTATTCTTGCTATCATAAGATCCATATGAGTGGAATTTATCAAGGTGGCATATTCACTTCTTATACACAAGTCCCTTTTCCATCTCCTTATTTTGCACCGCTATACACGATATACATACTCCTTATTTCTATTCTTGCTATCATAAGATCCATATGAGTGGAATTTATCAAGGTGGCTCCTTGTTTAGAGATTAGCTTTCTTATGTTGCGTGTATCACTTAGGTGTTGTTTGGTTTTTTGTAAAAAAAACATCTTCAGACCTTTTATTGTTGTGCGGCGCAGCACACACGCAACATTTTTCATCTCACAGCTCAAACTATTTGTTTTTTTAGAAGTCTTCGGAGTAAAAAACTTCTGCGCGTGTTCTGTTTG